CACGGCGACGGAGGTAGCGGCGGAGCTCCAGTGAGGCGGTGTGCGGGGCTAGAGCTCACCGAGCTTGAACAGCGGGCACTGGCTGGCGCAGGGAGTTGCTGGGAAGACGGTGATGCAGTTGCGGTGATGGAGAAGCGGTTAGGCGCGGCTTGGGCCGTCAACGACGACGGTGGCGCTGCGGGAGCCCAGTGGCTGCGCTTGCGGGTGCTGCGGACGGCGAAGGAGGAGCGGGAAAGTGAAACTGAGGGCGCGGATGGGAGCGGGCGGGTGCTGGCGTGATAATGCCGCGCTCAGACGCGTCGTGGCCGGCGCAGTCAGGGCGCTGGCGACGCGCGGCCATGGCGACCTCCACGCGGCGCGCGGTGTCTGAAGCCGGTCGGCCACTGTGCCGGTCGATTCAGTTAGTTCAGACGCGATAGAAGCAGCCTGACAGCGAGTTTTCGAGTCGATTATACTCCTAATCCGTGGACTTGTAGCCAAAACTTCCTAAACCGTAATTGTAGACCTATGTACCAGCTACAATATTTGTTCAAAGCACTTGTCCTAAATCGCAACAGAAACAGAGAAAAATCGTGCTCAAGGTTGGCTTGTCAGGCTGTCAGGGTTCATGACTTAGCAAAATTTGCTAAGTGTTGAAATGGTTGATTTCTCTGAATTTTGAAATCCAAATTCACACATGTTAGGAGCTGATTCAGTCAAAGACCCAAAAATCAAAGTTGTTCCTTATGTCAAACACTACAACATTGCTTTAGTGAACTCCTCCATGCAAGGTCTCTAGCACCTAGTTCAACTTTAGTCAAACCTGTCACTTTGAAAATATGATACATACTCAAACCATGACTAAATGACCAAATTAGCCCTAGCCCTAAATACCAAAGTTGTTCATAATGATATCCTAAGCATGTTTAAGCAAATTGCAAGGTCATTCAATCATTTTATGTAGTAGCCACTCATAGAGCTAGTTAGGGCAATCACAGGAAACATGCCTTAAAGGCTTGATTAAGAAAAGTGACTTTCATGAACAATGTTCTAATTGCGAACCCAAGTGTGGTTACATGTTTTTGGGACTCACATCTACCAAGTACAGGTTTTCATTCATGATCATTTGCATATACACATGGAAACATGAAATAATAAGAATGTTGCATATGTTTCAATTGAATGTTTCAAATGTCAAATGCTTGATTATGAATGCTTTATGATCATGCTCATGCTATGCGAGTCAAGTTATGCAAGGCTAACACCCGAGGTGTTACAATCCCAGAGAGGATCACTGGGCTGCGGTGAAGCGGCTACTACGCTACGTCAAGGGGACGGTGAATCATGGAATCATCTTCCCAAAGATCAAGGGAAGTAGGCTGCAGCTCACGGTGTTCAGCGATGCAGACATGGCGGGGGATATCGACGGACGACGGAGCACCTCTAGCGTACTCGTCTTCCTCGGGTCAGCCCCAATTTCATGGCTGTCGCTGAAACAGAAGGTTGTGACGCTATCTACGTGCGAGGCAGAGTACGTAGCGGCGGCCACAGCGGCGTGCCAAGTTGTGTGGCTACGCCGACTGCTGGGCGAGCTAACCGGCGTGGAAGCTTACCCACCAGCATTGATGGTGGACAACCAGCCCGCCATCGCCCTCGTGAAGAATGCGGTTCTGCACAACCGGAGTAAACACATCGACGTGAAGTTCCACTTCCTCAGGGACTGTGTTGATGGAGGGCAGATCGTCATCGAGTTTGTCGAAACTGGTCGGCAACTCGCGGACGTCCTCACCAAGCCGCTCGGACGACTTCGACTCACGGAGCTGAAGGAGATGATCGGTATGGAGGGGGTGCAAGGGTTAGCAGCAGGATTAGGGGAAGATTGTTAGCTAATCTACTGCCACCTTGTGTGAAACACAGCAGAGGAAGGCGGCGCCGACTTTACCCCTGCTGTAATACAGTAGCCGCTGTAGGTGCAGGCGCCGCATGGCTCACCTGCAGCACTGTAGGCACATGCAGTGGCCGACGCAGAGTCAGCCCTGTATGTTTATCTACTTACTGTTACAGCATGTGAGCTGTAACTTTAGTTAGATAGATAGAGTTGTATAAATAGGGCACCAAAGCATCTCAGTAAAGAGAGCTCAGATTTGCCATCACACAGACATGGCTTCGGCCAACGTTGATGTCTTGTATTATGCGTGCTTGCTATGTTCTCCCTTCTTCTTCTAGCTCGATCCGTAGTGTGTGGGTACGGACAGAACCGGTGTAGTGGTCTGGGAGACTAGTGGTCTGGTCTGGAGACTAGCGGTCTGATCTGAGAGACTAGTGGTCTAGTCTGGAGACTAGCGGTCTGGTCTGGGAGACTAGTGGTCTGGAGACTAGTGGTCTGGTCTGAGAGACTAGGGGTCTGGTCTGGTAGACTAGTGGTCTGAAAGACTAGTGATCAGAGACTAATTCACTATCATCAGACGGTGATCCCACGGGCCAACACTCTGCACTCCGATAAAATTACTCTTTCAGTGCATTGAGTTGTTGCATCAATCAGCTCCTCGGCCGCTAGCTGCTTGAAGCATTTATTTAGGCACGCAAGTAAAGGGCGTGTTTAGTTCCAAAATTTTTCGGCTTTGGGCTACTGTAGCATTTTTGTTTGTATTTGGCAAAAATTATCCAATTATGAACTATTTAGGCTTAAAAGATTTGTCTTACGATTTCTCGGCCGACTGTGTAATTATTATTTTTTCGTCTACATTTAGTACTCCATGCATATGCCGCAAGATTCGATGTGACGGGTAGTAAATTTTTTTGGATTTTGGAGGAAACTAAACGGGGCCAAAGCGTACTAGTGCAATAGTAAGTCGGTAGCTTTATGTACAGTTTGCACTGGTTGAGGGCATGCAATCAGTCAGGGGATGCCCTGCCCGACACTGTCAGAGAACAAAACGGAAACGCATTAGCAGCTGCACTGCAGAGGTAGCTCATCATCTGATCTATGATTCAGGGTCATTTATTCGTCGACTTCGAGGTCTTGTTTGTATATAGTCGGATTCACATTAATATACATGTGTTAGGGTGGATTAAAGTAAAACTTGAACTAAATTCCTCCTTAATGCATCTCAACACATATGGATTGAGGTAAATCTAATGACATCCCAACAAAGCCTAAATAAGTAATCATCTTGCAGCATGTTTCACCGACCGTGACCGTAACCCTGATACTACTAAGTACGTGTACTATGTATACAGCGGCAGAGGTGAGCAGGTTGGGTTGGCGGAGCAAGCTACAAAACACACAAGGAAAATTCTCTCTGCAGCTTGTGCATGCATGAAAAGAAAGGAGAGAGGAGAAGCGGCAGCGAGGCATCAGTGTGTGCATGCTATTGCTATCATGGCATGCATGGTCCGAGCACGAGCAGGGGCAGCAGCAGGAGCATGGCATGGCATGGAATTCTGAATCTCTGATGATGGATCCACAGTGAAAGCAGCAAGGCGACTGATGGAGCAAGGCAACGCAGGGACAGAGATCCATGGTTGAACAGCGGCTAGGAGTATTCCTTTCCTACTAGGCACAGGCAGGCAGAGAGGCTTGCATTGTTGTGTCACTTCATCTCCCTGCCTTGCCTGCCTGCTTTGGGCCGACGCAATTTTTGGCCTGTTCGCTTCGCTGATAAGCCATGGCCGAAAGTATCATTGGCTGATTTGTTGTGAGAGAAAAATACCGTTCGTTGGCTGAAAAAGTACGATTTATAAGCCAAGCGAATAGGGCGTTTCTCACTAGCACCAACTCTAGTGGTAATCGATGACGCAGTGGTGATGTGGTGAATGAAGCATGGATGACGATGCGTCGTGAACTCATGATGGTGGTAGGAGTGAAAAGAAAAGAAGGCTCCTTTCCTTTCCCTTCCATGCATGATGATGATTCAGGCAGCAAGTGAGCATTGGTGTGCCAATTATTGGGTTCAGTTCAGTTTCAGCTTCAGACTTTCCGTCAGTGTCTGAATGAATTGGCATGGCAGCTTCAGATTTCCAGATATGGGATAGTAGGTTGCAAATGCCTGTTTGCATTGCTTTGCTGGAGACTGACATTGTTGATGCACATGCATTTGAACTGAACTGGAGTGAAGTGGTGGTTTCCAAAATGCAAAAGTGTTCAAGTGAGACGAGAAAGAAATGCAGGGTCGCAGCGAGAGAAGAGAGATGCGAGAGGAGACGAAGAATACAAAAGGAAGGGTCGGCCGGGGCGGGCAGCAGGGTGCAGCAGATGCAGGTGGGAATGAAGCGACAGGTCAGGATGGATGGATGGACGGGACAAGAGGGAAGGGAACGATCCAAGAAAAAAGAATGAAAAGCAGCTCAGCTCTTCTTCTCAGCTCCATGCCCATGGATGGATGGATCATGGATCATCGTACACACACACACGCAGAGTCAGAGAGAGAGAGAGATGAGAGACGACAGGGACAGCGACAGCAGCAGGGTTGGAGGAGGAGAGAGGGAGCTGTGTGTGTCTGCTCCGAATTTTTTATTTTTCAGCTTTTTTTTAAAAAATATTCACAAATAGACCCGTAATGGTTTGATTTTTGTTTATGGACCCTGACATCAGCGCCATGGCTTTTGGCGCCATGACCAATGGCATCGAGGTCATGACGAGGCGTCAGACGTGGCGGTGACTTAGCGCCGACATGGACAAGGCATTGGCACCGTAGATCTTGACATTTGAAATGAAGTATAATTGTTTCAAGGAACATGAAACAACGCCATTGCGGTTCAACTCGTTAGGATGCGCGCGACTTAGCTTAAAAGTCTTGGGTTCAAACCCAGCGTTAAATTTTTTTTGCTACATTTTTATAAGCATTTTTCGGCAGCGTGAACATTTTTCTGTTCTGAACATTTTTACAAGCAGCGTGAACATTTATATAGTTCTAAACACAGATTTCCTAGAGAGGTCACGGCCATATGTACATCCAATTTTACAGGGCGTGCCCAGAGGTTTTAGCTGCTAGATAGACAACCAACGTGGTTCCTCCGGCTTAGCCACCATGGCTGACACCCACAGCCCTAACTTCCACATGCCGCCGCCCTTCTTTCTCCGGGTGAACGACCACGGTGGCCTGCGCAAATAGATGAAGTAATGTCTTACCAAGTCTGGGTCTAATGTGTCAATGGCGTACAAACCATATCTGTCCTCAGGGACAGTGATTCTTGTTTTCTCGTTAACAGAAACAGTTTTACCTGCTCCATTAGAATAACTTCATATCATATGACATGGAAACAGGAAACAATCTAATGACATAAGGGACAAAAACATGAATCGAAAAGGATTGGCCAAACTTTTGCTTATAAAGCCAAAAGACGATGCCACTTTTTTATTTATGGCAATTGTCTCGTGAAGACCATGCCACTTTAGTACACACGTCTGTGTCTTTTTTTGGGGGTTCATTATTCTAACTTCATTCATTTTTTTTCGAAATCGTTGTAAAATAAGTCAATACATTAATAACATTAGAATTTAAAAGAAGGAAGTCCATGTGTTAGAGTAATAGACAGCTGAATATAAACCATAATTAATAATTTGTGAACAGGAGCATAGTTTGTACCAGTGGAGGCATCAAATTTGGACCAGAGCTTCTCTCTGAACTCATGCTCAGCAGCAAGGATGCGCACCAAACTCTCTCCTTGTTTCCTTCCTCATCGACAGCTTCAAGGATGGAACCAGCAATACCAGGAACAAGTAACACTGGGTCAAGGGTGGGATCAACCAAGGGCACCTGCTCCTTTGCAATCCGAAGCCAGAGCTCTATCGCCCGGATCAAATCCTCCAGTAACGTCATGGTCACGGGAAAAGGAAAAGGTTGCGCCTTCCCAAGACTTATCCAAATTCAGCACCCAAATAGCAGCCACCTGCGGCAACTGGCCCCCAAAGCACCCTAGGCAACCCTCGAATCAAGCGAGCGGCAATGGCCCGGAGAGATGGGCGACTTCAGCAGATTGCAGTGAAGTCAAGGTGAGCCTAAGATGGAATCAGCTTGAGAGAGAATTGCATCGCCAGACGAACAGATGAACAATTTCAGCAAGCTGCGAGGCACCGGCGCAGTTTTGGGGAAAATTGGAACGCAAGCTGGGCCAATTGAACCAGAGATAGCAGTCCAAGTCGGCTGCCGCGGCGAGTAATTTGCGAGAAAACTCCAGCTCACCGGATGAAAAGGACCAAAATAAAACGCCGGCAACTCTGACACACCCACCCTCCCCTATACAAGATGAACACCAACAGAGCCCCTCCGATCGCGCGAACGAAGCCACAGGGTTCGGAGCCAGTTGGGGGGACGCCGGCGCCGGGCTAGGGACCGCGGCCGGAATCTAGTGGTGTTTATTCGCTTCCGGAATTGGGAGGTGGTCGGGTTCCGGCGCCGTGAGGGTTTCGCTTTCCCGTCCCGTACTCTAACGCCGAACCGGAGGGAGGTACACGAAGCAAAGTTGCCGAAAAATGTACAAAAAAAGATTCAGCGCTCGGTTCAAACCAAGGCCTTTGAGCTAATTCGCGCGCATCCTAATTAGCTGAACCACAATGACATTGTTTCATGTTCCTCGGAACAATTATACTTGTTTCATTTCAAATGACAAGATCTACGGCGCCGAGACCTTGTCCACGTCGGCGTCAGGTCACCGCCACCTTCGACGCCTCGCCAAGACGTGTTTTCTCAACGCCAAAAGCCATGACGTCGAGATCAAGATTCATAAACAAAAATCAAATCACCTGGATCTATTTATGAATATTTTTCAAAAGAAAAGGCTGAAAAATAAAAAATTCGGTGTGTCTGCTCGTGTCTAGAGGGGGAGGAGTAGCTTCTGCCGTCTTATCTTTCTGGGCCAGCAAGGTACGTACAGTAGTCCAACAGTAAAATCAGCAGCGACACGGTGCAGTGCACAGCTGCTTCTCCTTACCACCTTGCAGCATACTAGCTGTCTAGCTCCTCCAGTCTACTCCCTCCCTTCAGTAAATTACTATGGTTATCACCTTCCGACAAGTCGAATACTGTATTTTGACAATGTTTAATTAGTTTTCTGCTCCATGCTGTTTAGATAATCTAACGCCACAGTGCACAACAACCAAATAAACTAAAGTCAATAACATTAATTTTTTAGCTGAATTTTATGTAAGAATTCAGTTGCATTGGAGATCTCTCTCTCAACTCATATGTAATCCATAATACATCTGGCAGTAAGCAGCAGTACGGATCATATAAATTCATAGTAAAGCATGCAGGTACGGTAAACTAACCAGCCGATCCACATTATGCCTTGTTAGCCATTCCTAGTATTTGTCTCACGCATGTCGAAACAAATAATAATTAATCCCGCCTCGGAAATATTCTTTATTTGAAAACAATTAAATTACTCCCCTCATCTACTGCTTGTATATCTCCCTACTGGCTGATGAACTAACTAAAATGAGTCTCTCTCCTCTAGTGTAAAATTTGGCACAATCATAACAAATAGAGGCATATTGGACTTTCACAGGAATCAATTCATTTTCATAAGAAAAAAAGAAGAAAACAAGAAATTTTCACACAATTCCAAAGGGGCCTAACTGAAATGACATATATGGTATAACAAAGCACACACACAATATATACTGCAGAAAATTCCATCGTCACAGGTTAAGAATCAACAAGACAAATAAAAGTCAGGGCCGGCAAAGGAATTCCGGAACAAACTCAATCGACACCAAACTGCAAAAGTAAGTCTGGATCTGGCGAAGAGAATTATATTGGAAAGTGGAGTTAAAATAAAAAAAAAGAAAAAAATCAATTCGCGTCAAGTAGTGATCCCAAGGAAGAAGAGATGATGTGCATACATACGATAACCATCAATCAAGAAGAATTAATGATGAAGACAGGGACGAGGTTCTTACCTAGTTCTATAAGAGATGTGATGGCAGCCAAAATGAAGACAAGATGGATGCATGTACTCCGGCCGATCCAGCAGCTACGCATGCCCGCATTGATCGCCGCATGCATGCATGCAAAAGATGGAGTTGTTGGAGATGGAATAGGGCGGGGGCGCCGGCCGGCCGGGCCGCCGGGGCAATATTAATCAAGCAGCTAGCTAGGTAGCGACCTAGCTATATATTAGCCAGCTTGTAATTCACACAAAGGCAGGCATGGATAATTGAGAAATTATTGAAGAATTATTATTGGGGCCGGGCATCATAATAATCGATCAGAAATCAGAAATTAAAGAACAGAGACAGATATAGATTTACCTAGAGGTAGGTAGCCGCAAGCCCGCAGAATCGAAGGTAAAACATAGACAACGATAACCTATCATGAATGGTAGTCGGCGGGCGGCGAAAGACAACGCGCGCCATCTATCATGACTGGAACAGATGCGCGCCATGTTTTCCAAGGACTTTCTTGAACCATCAACAAGATAAGCAAGCTAATGAATGATCCACATGAATCGATCGAGTTCACAGTTCAAGAAAGCCTGTGGAGAACATGGCCACCATCTGGCTGGTTTCTTCCTTAATTTGATTTGCTGGCTGGCTGGCTGCTGCATGTATATATAAAATTCTCTCTTGTCTCTCTGTCTGATCTGATCTGCTGCATAATTGCATAATTCTCTAGCTAGCTCTTCTCTCTCTGATGTGCACAAAGACAGTGAGATCGAGTATATATGTGTGGGAACTGAGATCTAGAGGGGGAGAGGGGAACGGGATCGGAGGGAGCTTCGAGAGAGGGAGAGAGATGGGGGCGTATATATAGACGATCCATAGAGATGGATGGAGCCATGGAGCGAAGAGGATGGAGATGGATCGGAGGCCGCGCCGCCGACACAAAATTAAACATCAGGCTGCCCCAGGTCCAGGTCCAGCTGGAACGACATAGAAACAGACAGCCACCATGGGTGGGAGATGCCGGCGGCAGGTAGGCGAGGGGAAGAGAGAGATGAGCGAGCGAGCGAGCCAGAGATCGCGGCGGTGACCATCATCATCATATACTAGCAAAGAGGGCCGGCCGGGGAGGATAGATGCATGGTCATGGTGGGTGGTACCACATCGATCGGGCCGGGCTGGGTTGGGCCGGCACGTACGTGCTGTGCTGGCTGTATAGTACGCTGGCCCCTAGGCCCTAGCTAGCTAGCTACTACGCAACTTTCCTCACACGTGCGGTGCCGCCACCAGCTGCACCTGCACCCAACTTGGTCCCCGTTTGTTGGAGTTGTAGTAGATTTTGGGTTTTTGTTTTAAAGTTAACTTTCTGACTATTATATTATGGTTTATGGTTGCTGGCTTTTTGCTATTGGGTTTTAATAAAATTTTAGCTTCCCAGCATCACTTCAAAAGCCAGCAGGTAAGCCCATCTTAGTGTGCTTTTCAATTTTTAGTTCATTTTCTCACAAGCCAGATTTAATTTCTAGGTTCTCAAAATAATTTAGGAACCACATGCACATACAATTTACTCATTTTATTTCTTGATCAATCATCCCTTCTTCTACTACAAGCTCATGCATGATTGTACGGACTCGTCAATGACATAACTTTTTTTTTTACACTTTCACTACCAACGCTTTATTTCCCTATACACACAAAAAGCTCATGTATACGATTAATACCCGCATATACATGTCCACCATATATGAACCCGCAGAGGACTAGAACCCTAGATTTTGAAATGGCACGCATTGATAGTCACGACAATCGTGTTGTTAACTAGCAAAAATCATCTACCTTACAAAAAATAGGCCTAATAAGAGCAACTCCAGTAAGACCCCTACTTGAGAGCCCACATAACTATATATGGAGGCTCAGGTCAAAAATCTAACTCCAGCAGGGCCCCTACTACGGACCCTAAATTTGTGGGGGCACCAAAATCCTCCCACCAGCCCCCATTCTGGTTGGGCCAATATCCCAGCCCCCATCCCTCTCCACGCGCATCTGGCTCACGCAGTCGTTGGCGAGGAGCTCCAGTGGGCAGTGGCGCGTCTCCCTCTCTCCTCCCCGCACAGCCAAATACGCAGAGTACACAGACGAAGGGCCCAGTGGCGAGCGGATATGTGACCTCGGCCAGAGCTCCAGCGGGCGACGACGCTTCTCCCTCTCTTCGCTGGTGGTGTGTCTCCCTCTCTCCTTCAACGGGCAAGCGCGGACCCGGCTGGCCACTGCACAGGAGTGGCCCCCTGCCGATCGTCGCGCGGGAGCGACTCGAGCCATGGCCGTCGCGCGGGAGTAGCCAGACCGCGCCTCCCTCCGCCGCGCGGGCGCGCTGCCTCAGCCACGCGAGCACCTCCCTCTGCCGCGCCTATGGTATCTGCATGTAAAGGATGGGGAAGAAAGGTTTGACTCATTGTCTGCTAATATGGATTTGGGGGCCTGACTTTGGGTGCTGCTGCTGAAGTGGAAGAAATTTGTTGGGCCAACAAAAATAGGGTTGGGCACCCAAATAAAAAATGAGAGACCTGATTTGGACGCTACTGCTGGAGATGCTCTAAGGAGACATGATGGGAGCCAATAATGCATGGGGTTTGACCTATGGTACTACCTGAATATGACAATTCTACATTATTCATCCAATCCTAAGACATCATCTTAAGTTTATCAAAGTTTATATAAAAAAGAGTGTTAATATTTATGTCACCGAATTGATATACTAGAAAATATATTTTATGATAAATCTAATGATACTAGCTTATAATTTGTAAAATATATCTGTATTTTTATATAAACTTGGTCAAATATACATGGTATATAATGTATCTAGATATATGCATGTCCAGATACATAGCAAAATCTACATACCAATTTGAAAAAAAAGCCTACGTAAAAAACTCAAAACGACTTAAAATTTTGGAACGAAAGGGAGTATATGCATGTGGGTATATATATGATTCTGTGTTCTTGGGAAATGAAAACTTGTGTGGTTTCAGGATAGACATCGATGGATCGGATCAACATTATTGAATTTGTGGAAGGATCACGGGCTGTCCGGGCCAATAAGAGAGGTGGTTGTGCACGTACCAGCAGTAGCATCACATGCGCCATCAGTACTGTTTACACTTTTCACGTGTACTCTAGCATCATCGTATATCATCTGTTCGTTTGTTGATTTTAGCCAGGCTTATTCACCCAGCCAACAGTATTTTCCTCTCAAAAAACCAGCACCAGCCAAAACTAGCACCAGCACCGACCAGCAAACAGGGTGTATATCGCGACGAACTGATGGAGGCCCATGCATGCATGGCCAGATAATATATCTACATGTACGTACTGCTAGAATTTAGCTGAAACACACACAACAATTACTCCTATATACTACTGTACTTTGCGAGTATATATATATTATTACTCCATCACCACCGATTTCGTTCCGTGGAGCCCATAAAGATTGCCAATCAAACATTTCTGATTCTATGGTATATATCATGTATGCATGCTGATTTACTCCCTCTATCCTGAAATATAAGAACAGACACTATAAAAGGAAATATTAACATGCATACCTACCATTAGGCCTCCTTTGAATTGCAGGAACGCGTAAACCACAGGAAAAGGTGAAACATAGGAATAGAATAGGAATGCAAGTGAAAAACAGACGAATCTAAAACAAAGGAATTTTCATACCAAGGTGTTTGGATAGGCAAAGGAGAAACACAGGAATCTTAAAGGATTTTTAGGAGCAAAGAGTGGTTGTTTTCTTAATCAAGCTACTTTATTCTATTCCACTCTCATGAATAGACACAAGTTGGTCACATAAGTCCATTGTTTGCCTTGTTCCTTGTGCATAGGAATTTTTCTATGAGGTCTAGGTGGATTGTTTTTTCCTATAGTTTTCCTATGGAATTCCTATGACCAATTCCTACTAACCAAAGGGTGCTACAGTATTTCAATCCTATGGAATCTCAATCCTATGTTTTTCCTTTGTTTCACCTCTATTCCAAAGGGGCCCTTAATGTTCATCACCAACCCAAATATGGTAATCAGAGGGGGTTGTACGTGTCATTTGTCTTACCACATAATATATCTTAAAATTACTTAGAAAATAGGTTGAGGTCTACCTGAGTGTCTACCACACAAATGGGAGCCTGCAAGAGAGGGATGATATCACACCATATTGTGATGCGGGTAATGTACCTAAAGTCATTATAATGATTATGACATTGTTCCTCATTTAGGGCCGGGGGCTTGCAAGAGCGGCTAGGCTGGTGGCGCGGCATGGCCATGACGAATCCGATGATAATTCCGAATTTCTGATTATCACTATCTACTATCACCAATAAGAACGTAAACCGATGGTGATAGAGTGATAATATTTGTGCAGTAAATAACTAATAGTTATAGGGCACACCCATAAAAGAATAATTTACTAATAGTTATAATTAATTTTCATGATGATCCATGATGCATGCATATATAGAGCATGGTGCATGGGTTAGTTACCCTATCGACGACGGAGAATAATACGGCATGAATACAATATATACAACTAGCATACTTCTGCAGAGTAGTAGAAGATGAAGCGAAGTGCATGAAGTCACAAGCACATATAGAATAGAAGAAGGAAGAATGGTAGATTAGATCTTGAAGAGACGACGGAGACTTGATCAGTGCAGTGTCGTTGCGCAGCTACTAGCAGAGTAACAACAAGCAGGCAAATCAGCAGCTAGCACCAAACGGAACAGCTCATCAGATCACGCTGCGTGCCAGGTGGTGATGCTGTGCCAACGCTCGACAGCACTATCCCTATGCAATCATCGTCCAACAACGACGATCCATATAATGCATGAAATCCGTTTCGATCCATTCTTTTGTTTCTTCCCCATTTTGCAAACTAAGCTTCCCGTGTAAACATGTAAACTAGCGACGTGGGCTCTAGGATCGTGATCTGATGGCTCCTGAGAGAGGTGGGAAATATTTGCACTTAAACGCCCGCAGCATCTCACCGGTTCGTTGAATTTTTTCACGTGACCCCCTCCTCCGTTTGGCCGTCAGTCCGCCGTTCGGGATCGCGATCTCGCGATCGTTACGTACGCGAAACATCGATCGGTCGCGATCGTTACGTTACGTACGCGATTCCCCCCGATCGATCGTCACCTGGATCGCGCCGCCGCCCAACATCGCGGTCCTCGGATCGCCGCCGCGCCGTGCGCCACCACGGATCGCTCGACTTCCTCCAGTCGCGCCTCATCGCAACCGGCCACGACATCCCGCCCACGTCCGGTCGCTCGACGAACAAGGCCTGGTTCGCCGCCGGTCACGTCCGTGTCCCGTCCCCTTTTCCAGGAGCTCGCCGAGGTGGTGGTTCAGGCCTGACGATGGGACTAGATCATCTGCTGGATTCTGAACGTTCTCCCTTCCGAGTGTGTTCTCCCCAATGCTTAATTCAAACAAGCGAAATTCTTTGCTTAATGCAATGAAATATTCAGAGGACACAAGACAAAGTATAAACGACATGTTTAAAAATATCCAGTAACATAAACCTTCCATGTCTTAACAAAATGAACCTAGAAATATTCAGAGCTCACTAATTGCTTGCATTTTCCACACCATTGAGCGGGCAATTACGTGCGTCATGAGCCACTAATTGCTTGCATTTTCCACACATCCGTTTTCTGGGCGCCTTCTGCTCCTTGCCCTTCTTGATTCTTTTGCTTCGCCCTCTGGAGTTGATATCATTTGGTGGATGTATCTCAACTTCTTGTGGAATTTTTCCACCAAGGAACGATTCGAACTCATCTTGTTTACTGGCTGTAGCAGCAGGAACGATATTTTGAAGAGGTTGTACAAGGTTTGATAAGCTAGAATATAAAAATTCTATTCCTTGTTCAGAGTTCTTGGCCATCTGGATTAGCTCTTCAAACTTGTTACGTGAATCTGAAATTTTTCTCGCCATTGCTTCCTCCACAGGATCTTTAGCCTTTTCATCCAGTAGGTTACCTTCCTCATCAAATGTCACTTCTCTATGAAATAAAACAACCAATCAGAAATATTGCACATGTAAAAACAGTCCGTCTATATAAAACAAAACAACTCTGTAAACTCACCTTTTACACCTCATATCCCACCTTTTTATAAAATAAATTGGTGGTATCTCATTTTGTTTTTCGCCTCTAAGCACTTGAATGATATGACGACATGGGATGCCATAGGACTCATAAAATTTGCAAGAGCACATACCAAACAAGTTTGATTTGTTCATTTGAACTACTCGCTCTTTACCAGATTGGCTGCTAATAGTGACAATTTTTTTATCATCATTCTCTGAAATTCCTTGAATAATGCAATGGTCTCTTGCAACCATTAGTTGTTCCTGAAACTTGTTGAAAATTTCATGAGTATATACAACACTACACTGCTTCTCCATGACCCAAGGTGTCATCAATGTACGGTTGGAGTGAAGACTTTTATTGTCGGCTATCAACTCCTCTTCGCGCTGGCACTCCAAAGCTGTTGAAAACCTCAGCCAAAACTCAACAAAGGATAATTTTCGATGAATGAAACGGTTAAAGAAAGAATTTGCACTTTCCGATCGTGATGTAGTCCTAAGAAGTCCTGCTAGAGGTATGTCCATAAAGTATGCTGGGATCCATGATTCTCGGCTGGCGAACTTTGTGGAAAACCACTCATTTTCAGTGAGCACATACGTTGTCATGATAGAATTCCATTTAGACTCAAACTCATCTGAATTCTCGGAGCCCCAAACACACTCGTTTAATAATTTCCAGAAGTCCTCATCATTTTTTATGTCTGGCCCAACCTTCTCAGGAACCTTATCCATGATATGCCACATGCAAAGTCTATGAGTTGTATTTGGTAGAACCTGAGCAATAGCAGCCTTCATGCTCGCATCTTCATCTGTTATGATTAGATGAGGTGCTACTCCACCAGTAGCCTTAAGAAAGGTCTGAAACAACCATACATATGAGTCGATCTTTTCATCAGCCAGAAACGCTGCGCCAAGGAAAACACTTTGCAAGTGATGATTGACCCCAGTGAATGGCACAAACTTCATATCATATTGGTTGGTAGTATATGTAGAATCTACCGAAAGCACATCACCAAAAACACTGCAATTTTTTCTACATGTGGCATCTGCCCAGAAGACACGCACAAGTCGTCCTTCTTTATCCACCATAAACTCATAAAAGAAGGCAGGATTTGCTTCCTTCTTTCGCTCAAGTTGATGCACAAACATATGTGCATCAGCATCTTTGATTTTGGTCCTCAGGTCACGGTAGTAGTTCTTCAAATCCCTCAGCGTGCAACCAACATGCTTAAATCCACCGTCAGTGACTTGGAGAAGTCGAAATGCCTGTGACGTGCCAATGCTAGCTTTATGACAGTTGAACAAAGTACTCTTTGCCCTCTCACTAACTTGACGGTTGGATCGTAGCAGGTGCCTCTTATCTGGCGACACGAAAACATGATTGTGCTCCTCAACAAATGACAATATTTGATACTTCTTCTCATTGTCAAGCTTGACAACAATATGAGCCTCACAACCACATCGGGTGTCCATCACATTTGATGTCTTCTTTTTTTTCCCGGGCTGCTCACTAACTTCTTCTTCGCTCTTCTTCCTATATCCTTCATTTGAGCACAAATACCTCTGGTACAATATTACCTCATTCTCCTTCCTATGTGCACCAACACGAACCGAGAAACCAGCATCGTGTGCATAGTCTTTGTAAAAAATCTCCGCAGCCTTGAGTGTATCAAAAGTCATTCCCACCACAGGCTTTTTATTTGCTTTGCACTTATCTGCTATATTAGGAGAAGGTATAGTCCGTGGTGTGCTTGGTTCCTCAACGTGGGCTACAACTCCAGCATCGACGTCCATGATGGACAGGACTGCATGTTAACGACGACATTACCAATGAGCGTAGTCAATGTGATAGTAAAGATGAAAGTTTTGTAGAAAAAACAAACCTGCATCGGGGCCGTGTGTTCCTGGGATCATAGGCAGCATTGCGGCGGCGTTCGTGGCCAACGACGGAGGCGAGCCCGTGCTCAGCGTTAGGTCGGAGTTCGTGAGCACCATCGGAGTGGAGTTCGTGGCCATCGGACGGGGGTCCTTCGTCTCCACGGTGGACGCTGCCGGATGGGGCTCCATCATCACAGTATGACCTGCAAGTTTTCATCATATGCACTGTGATGAAATAGTTTGCGGCTGCGGCGCGAGTTTCTGCAGACATAGGGCAGAGGAAGGAGAGATGGAGGGGCTGACTAAATCGGAGATGGAGGGTCTCACGTCCAGCAAGATCGCCGGCTTCGTGGTGGATGGCCCTGCTGCTCCAGCGACGACGTTGCAGGCCCTCGTGGTGGCTTCTCGATGCGACCCAGGCCGGCGACGAACAAGGCCGGCGGCGCAAACCAGGCGAACCAGTCCGGCGGCAGCGCGATGTTGGGCCGCGGCGCGATGTTGGGCGGCGGCGCGATGTTGTGCGATGTTGGGCGGCCGCGCGATGTTGGGCGGCGGCGCGATCCAGGCCGGCGCGGCGGTCGCGATCCAGCGAACCGACGAAGCAAACTCGCGATCCAGACGACGGCCAAACGGAACGGAGGACGGAACGGAGGAGGGGGTCACGTGAAAAAAATCTACGAAACGGTGGGATGCTGCGGGCGTTTAAGTGCAAATATTTCCCACCTCTCTCAGGAGCCATCAGATCACGATCCTAGAGCCCACGTCGATAGTTTACATGTTTACACGGGAAGCTTAGTTTGCACACGATCCGTTCCCTATATATATATATATATATATATATATATATATATATATATATATTAAGGGATCTTTTCCATTATCTTCAACCTCAAGCATGTCTCTCCTTCAAGGTTGTATAGTTAATAAATTTATAGGGGGCTCCATGCTTTCAGCAGCGGTAGGAGGAGCGCGAGCCAATCCGTAATAGTAGCTACCAAGCAGGCAGGCAGGCAGGACCAGCTCGATCATAATGATGGATCAGCTCGTGTGCATTAGGTGCAGCACTGTGACAGTAAAATAATGTGGTCACCATAAGCTAATTAGATCTACCAACCACTAATTAACAACAGTCCTTCTCCAGTAGCATATACAGTTCTAGCAGTATATTTCATCCTGTCGCTAGATTTGTTACTATATCAGTTATAATTGATCCCGTCGGTTGCTTCCATTTTCTAAAAGAAATCAGCTAATTATATCAAGTATTGCACTATTTACTTGAGTAGTATCTATGTCTATCTATCAGTGACCTGAATTTTGCAATGGATGTTTTGGTGGTGTGGAGATGTGCGCCAGGGAAGGTAGTGGTGATCCCTGACGTACAGGGACATGGATTTTGTGGCACTGCAAATCCGTCAGCCAATTCATATTTCTCTTGATGAACCACCACACCACAAAAACAATATGAGCACAGAGCCAGTGAAATCGCTGTGCATGCGTGCCTGGCCTGCTTTTGCATCTGAATTATTGGCTCCAGATTGCGAGTGGACCAGCTACCCGAATCAAGCTATTGGCCAATCTACAAATGTCTCTGTGTCCATCTCTCTGTCTCTCTGTCTGTCTGTATCTACATCTTTTCATGGCTCTCTCGCAGTCATTCAGTCGGACTGTCGTAGTATATATGGATAATCAGTCAATCTGCACATGTATGCAGACATAACCAAGTCTTGGTACCATCTGTATGCGGAGATAACCAAACAAACTCGCCAATTCCCATGGAATTCTAGTTTAGGAATTCAGGAAAATGGATTCCTGGCATGCCAATATACTGCTAATAGCATCAGTCTGTTAATGCCATGCCATATTTAGCCTATCCAGGGTAAAGATAGGATTAAACGTTGGAACAAACCTTTCGTAAATTCCATCAGAAATTATACTTTCAAAAATTCTAGTATCCACAGTTAGGTCTATTTAGGAATACATGGGAAAGTCCAAACTAAATTTCTTTTGCCATACGCAAGAAATGACAAATTACTAGTGTGGACGCACGAAAACAAAAAAAAAACATAGCATATATATGGTCCATTTTAACATAGGCATCCGAAATTTTCTTTAGAAAAATGGAGATATGATTTGTAACACAATTTGTTTTTCTTTAAAACAGAATTAGCCCATGTACACCTGATCGTCCTCAAGATAGATAGTGCCCAACATAAGAGGACACAGATGGGTACAAAAGCTACCGTTGTGCAAACAAGAAGGAACTGTATGGTTAGTAGCTAGCTTCCAACACTTGTCCTCCTCACCTTGTATTTGGACAGGAAGCCTTAATTGGGCTCGTTGCCAGGCTTATTTTTAAGTAAATTTGTAATGTCTCCTGGCTTATTAACAGTTTGACCGATGGAGACTTTGGAGAGGTAGCAGGCTGGACAGTGTAAAATTCAAGCTTTTCAACATCCATGGAGAGGCAGCTGTTCACAATTCGAACTGTATAGTAAGTCTCCTGTAGCTAGGTGCTTGCACACATGGACAAACAGCATCCAGTACAAGTATGCATGACCGGTTCACAATTTGTTTGGTTAGTCCACCATCCGTGGATTAGTATGCACTTCCATCTGGCAGCAATGTTGCTTAACAGCAGCATAATAACTTTTATTAACTTTATCCCAACCCAGCACTGCATCAGCACAAATCACACCATATCGATTTGTCACTACTGAGACGAAGAGTTACTACTCATCTTCATTGGCACAACTTCATCAGATGATGAAAATCAACTAGTTGACACAAGATACAATATTTCCATAACCGATGCATATAGGACCATCCTAGATAGGTCTAACACCATCAAAAGTCTTCCTTGACACAACTTCATCAGATGATGCAAATCAACTAGTTGGCACAACATGATATTTCCATAACCCATACATATAGGACCATCATAGATAGGATCAACACCATCAAAATTCCCTCCCTTTTCAGACCTTGGTTAGTACAAGGAGGCAGAATCAGTTCTGTCAAGTGATACTTAGTCCTCTGCCATTCGAGCAGGCTGACTGCTCTTGATTTTGGCTACAACTTCAATTGGTTAAGTTGACTTAAAGTGGGAGTCATCAATTGTTGAGTAGAGATGGCCCAAGTCCACATTGTCGAGAATAGCATCCCTGCATAACAAAAGGAGCTGCTGAGAATACTCTTTATTTTTTTCCTGTGTGCTAGTGAAAATGAAGAGAGAGCTCTACATGATCTTCTTCTCCGGCAGTTTGAACCGCTTGATAACTTCATCAACATGTACCCCATGCTCACTCTCACTGTCGACAATAGAATGACAAATAAAGATGAGAAAACTTGCTAACCAAGGCATCACAACAAATCAACTTTTTATTTGTTAAGTGAAAGGGTAATTATTAAACTTAGGACAGGTAATGTGGAATCTTATTTTGATAAGAAAGAAATAAAAGAAAGAAAAGGATGATTATGTGTAATATAAACTTTATTTAGGGCAGTTTATTGGAAAGGCTGGTCAAAACCAAAGAAAAAGGAGGGGCCATAGATATGACTTACAGGTTCGCTGGTTCTTTAAAAATATTAAGCACCTGCGTGCTCAAATCAGTATCGGAACCACTTGCTCCACTGGTCACTGGTGCCTATAGGAATTAGCAAGACACGGTGATATGTGAAAAGGTTTTGATTAAATAATCAATGCAATAACTGCAACTATAACTTACTGGATTCGATTTCAAAGATGTTGGTGTGCTTGATTCACTGAAACCATTTGAGACTGACACTCCCATAGAAGAACTGGTTCGTGCAGGACTGCCAGCCTATGATGTAAACCAGAAGCCTTGTAAAACAAAGCCACGGGAAAGACAGCATGGAATATTTCAATGACCTTAGTACAGGAAAGGGCGGCACCTTTGATTTCGTGTTCTCTATATGCATCCGAACACACTGAATGAAATGCAGCGTAACCTCATTGAAATCAGTTATAGGCCTGAAAGAAAATCAATATATTAATTGTATGCTGCATTGTAAGAATTGTTCAGCTTAAACGAACTTACTGCCAGGATACCTGCTTGAGAAAGAAGTAGCACGCTTCCTCTCTTGAAGTCCCTTGAGGCTTCCAATGACCGCAACGTACATACCATTCCTTGATAACCAAAGAGAGAAAAAACTGTGATCTATCCGCACAAAAGCATGGCAACTTTCCTCCAGAAAAGATAGTGAAATGCTTTAACAACAATGTAAAGGCTGTAGCTTATACTTACTGAATAGCAGCAGTTTCGGAAGAATCTGAAGCATCATTCACCCTGCGAAACAGAAACATAAATAACATAACTGTGTGTAAGGAAACCTATTACTAATCGCAGACAACCAACATGATAAGCCATGAATAACTTGGTTGAACGTAGGATTATGACATTGGTGACTATTATCTTCTTTTATAAAACAAGGCAAAGATCTCCTTATCAATATATTATTGGCAGAACTCCAGCCAGCCATTTCTTTTCAAAAAAGGAAAAAAAATCTTCACTGAAGTGCAGACTGAGTACATTTTGGGGAACTGACACGCAAGATTTGGCATGGTAGGAACTTCAAGGGCCAGGTTGGTTATTAAATCAGTTTGCAGAATATTTTGTGCTATACCTTTACATCAAGATTTGGTAAACTAACAAAATCTGGTTAGTCTACACGAATTCTGCAAATAATTATTAAGGCCAGAAGCACTATATGATTACTTTCAGGTTAGCTTTTCTTGACAAATTGGCATCAAACAGAGCAGTTTGTATCACTTCAACAACTTATCAGGTCACACTAGAATCACTAGCCTTGCGGGGAGAATTTGAAGTTGTTAATGAGGTTCACAGGAAGCATACAATGGTGAGGCAAGTTCAGTGGTTGGAAGGAACAACAGATGGAATTGTTACTGAAACATTCCACTTCCACATGTATGCCTTTCACATGCAGCTATGTAGTTTTCTGGTTATTATAACCTAATGCAGATGTTTAGCTTTGTGTTTATGAGTAAAAGATGATGTGTTCTGATAAGATGAGGTTAGTCCACACGAGTTCCTGCAAGCAGTTATTAAAGCCAGCAACAGGTGGTTTCAGATTGTTGTACAGCCAGATCCAGTGGAATCTATGTCATGGTTCTTGAATACAATGAATGCAAGACTAAAAATCTCAAAGAAGAAAAATTAAGGCCCCCTTTGGAGGAAGGCGGGATTTTGTCCTGTTTCCAGTGTTTTTCTTGTGAAAATGAATTGATTCATGTGAAATTCCTGCATTCCAAAGTGCCCTAATCATAATACATGGTTACTTTCAGGTCAGCTTTTCTTGACAAGTTGGCATCAGCAGTGTAATTTGTATCACTTCAACAACTTATCAGGTCACACTAGAATCACTATCCTTGCAGGGAGAACTTGAAGTTGTTACGGAGGCTGACAGGAAGCATACAATGGCAACTTGGCAAGGCAGGTTCAGTGGTTGTAAGGAACAACAGATGGAACTGTTACTGAAACATTCCACTTGCACAGGTATTCCTTTCACAGGCACCTATGTAGTTTTCTGGTTATAACCCAATGTGGATGTTCAGCATTGGTGTTTATGAGTAAATAAATGATGATGTTTTCTGATAAGATTTCTGGGATTGACTATGAGAGAACCAAACAAGCAGTGTTACATTAGGCTCACCATCTGATGAAATCGAGGCGGCCGGTGCCGTCATCGAGCGTGAATGTCACATCGGTCGTCCGCTCCACCTTGCCGTTGACCATCCCCACAAGTCGAATCTGAAAAGGGAACCGCGGCTGACGAATTAACGGCGAGAACATGTCCATGTCAACGAATCAAAGCACGAAGAAGAGGAAAGGCTGAGAAACGCATAGCGCAGGGGAAGAGGCGTCTCGAATTTAGGCCCCCGTACGTTAGCCATCTCGACGCCATCCACGACGAACGGAGCGCCCTTCTCGCCGGTGCCAGATTGCTGCGCGTCGACGACCTGCTTCACGGTGAGCGGCATGGTGCTGGACGCGCCGCGCATCTGACAAATCCAATCACACAAGTCAGGTAAGTCCATGGCTAAGGGAACCGACGGATTGAGGTTGAAGAAAGCAAAAGGAGTCCGCGCGGCGAGAGGAAGAGAGGACCTTGGAAGGCGTGGTGGAGTCGGCGGCGGCATTCTGGGTGGAGGTGAACTGCGACGGCGAGAAGTCGGGTTGGCTCGACGGCGTCATCTTCCCAGTCACGAGCGGCGGCGGCGGCGGCGGCTGAATGGCTTGCGGATGGGCAGATGAGAGGATCGATGGGAGGGGATCTCAAGGGAGCGGAGCCCTAAAGGCAGAGCAACCTGGCGGGAGACCGGGGAAAAGCGCGGGAAATGAATCCCTGCTTCCCGCCATTTGCTATCACGGTGCGTGAGCGAGCGTGAGTGGGTACGGCTCGGTGCCTCGGTGTGGGCCTGACCGTACTGTTACGGCTGAGGGCGGATACAGCAGCCAAGGAATAGTCAAAGCTCAAATCTCTTCTCTGAACAAAATTAACAAAGCTTCACCTTCAGACCTTCTTTTTTTTAATAAATAAATAAAGGCAGTAGCACTGCCACTTTTTTGCAGTAGGAAGAGGTGAAACCCAGTGCAAGGCTTATGAAATTTGTGCCAATCAAACAAGCCCAAGTTTAACCAAATTTATAATGAATGATATTGATATATTTATATCTCCAAATAAGTTTATTATAAAATACATTTCATAGTTAATCTAATGATGTATATTTTGTATTATAAATGTTAGTATTTTTATAATTTTAGTCAAAATTCAAATTATATGACTTCATAGAAAGCGAGATTATTTTTTTTGAGAGAGAGAGTAGTGCATATTACAAGTAGCATCCTACAATAAGATTCAGCTGATGACTGCGTACGTATATTTTGGCAGGCAAACTTACAGAAAAAAGGTGTGCAGAGATTTGGCAACCCGCAGGGTTTAATTATTATCACAATTATAGTTTGGCAAGCAAACTTACAGAAGAAAAGTGAATTCATTATATATATTATCAGAATGTTGCAAAAAAAAAACTGATTTTATGGCACAACATACAATTTCAAGCTGACAGACACAGATGCAAATGCAAAACAACTTTTTTGTCTTTTTGATAAAGGAAGCTTTGATTACTTTCTCAAACTCCAACTAAATGTATTATCAGAAACCATCAATGAGTAACTGTTTAGCCAAAGGTGATTACAGCTTAAAATTATTCAACAGCTTCCAACAACACACATCAAGTTAGAGGGGAAAGGATATATAGTTCAGAACTGGATGTTTAGAGTAGCCATGATGGATGGAAATGGAGAATCAAAGCCAAGCCTGTTATGTCACTCCGCATCAGCATCAGCAGCTTCTAGGATGGCAGCTTCAGCTTCGAGCACCTCCTCCTCGCTCTTTCTGCCTTTCTTGGACTTGTAGTGGGCGCTCATGAAGGTCCCTACAGCGCCGTACTTGCGGCGGCAGTGCTCGTAGTGAGAGGGATCAAACATTCTCCAGAAGTCCTCGCTCAGCTCAGACACCGCATACTGCGCCTGGTACCCGTGGTTCCTAATGAGCCACTGCTCCAGCCTACACACGGCTTCGGCACCGTTGAACTCCTCACCCCGTAGAACAGAGGCAGAGGCAGGAGCGTAGTAGAAGCCGACGTCGGTGAACATTTGGGCTTTCCTGCGATGCTGCTCAAATCCTGGTTCCGGGTGCACCATCGTCTTCACGGGAAGCTTGTACAGCCGATGCGGGCACAGCCACACTGGGTAAACCTAAGATCAGATCAAAAAACAAAATTCTGAATCCCATCCCAACCAAGTTGAAGAGGGCATGGTCTAGAGACTCTAGACTAGCCACCAGCGATGCAAAAGAAAAAAGAAAGGAAATTGTACCTCCAGTTCACGGTGAGCAAACTCAAGAGCGTCGCTGACTTTGTGAAGCGGCACCAGCACGTCTTGGATCACGTGGTTGTCATGGTTAGTAGTTCCTGATAGCTTCACCCTGGGTGATCTTGAGCAAGGAAATCTTTGGTGGCATCAGCCAGCCAAGCAGAAACCTGAACCAGAGCTGGTCCCCGAACGGTATGATCAGTTTGCCTTCCCAATACGGGGATCTAGTGTGGCGATGGTAGTACTCCCTTGTAGGAATGTACTCCACGAACTCACCCCTCTTCAGAAACGTCTCAGCATACTGGTAGAACCAGGGCTTAAACCAACAGCCTACACGGTTGATCTTGTTGCCCTTCTTCTTTGCCTCCTCTTCCGAGGCATAAACACCGGTCATCATCACACCCTCTGAGGATGAGTACACCATCCCTTGTACAAAGTCAGGGATCTTTGCAGGGTCACCATCCCTTGACACGAAAGAATCAGCATAAGCCTCCGCGATTTCCTTCAAGGTCCCCCTGACAGGAGTATATGTGAGCCTCATGTATTCCTTGATGGGAATGAGTTTGATCTCAGCTGAAACGAGGAGTCCGATTGTGCCTTGGGACCATGGCATGCCATAGAAAAGGTCAGAGTCCTCATTGTCCTGGGTAGCTCTCACAACCTGACCATCTGCAAGAACAACCTCCATCGCGACAACCGTGTCAGAGAAGAGGCCATAGATGTGAGGGCCCCCTGAAATTCCATAATTATTTATCAGACCACCAACGGTAAGGTCATCAAACTCAGGAGCCACAGCGAGCGAAAGATTCATCGGGCAGGTAGCTTTAGTTATCTGACCCATGCTAACAAGAGGCTCGACCTTGGCAACCATTCTCTATTTGTCAATCTCAAGAATGTTCTTGAATGCAGAAGGGTCAACCTGAAAATGTCTGGCACGCTTGTAGTCTACGTTGCGCATACCGACGACCACCCATGGCTCCATAGCAGTGCAAACAAGGCCATCCCTCTTTGGATTCCTTAGGCGCTTCACGACTCTCTTTAGATTCTCCTCATGGTCCTTCTGTCGACGTGTTGGGTATCGATAGTAGGGATACCCAAAGTAAAGAGATTAGCGCCCACGCTGATTCTCCCGGATGGCCCGAGACGTATTACAAGATCTCGCCCGTCCCCAAGGCCGCGGGCTCCGTCTCGCCCGACCCATTAGGTACGGGCTCCGTCTTGCTCGATCCCAAGGTCGTAGGATTCGTCTCGCCCGACCCCCAAGGTTGCGGGCTCCGTCTCGCTCGACCCCTTGGGTGCGGGCTCCGTCTCGTCCGACCCCAAGGACACGGGCTCCGTCTCGCCCGACTTCGAGGCCGCAGGGGTCTCGCCCAAGGCCGCGGGCTCCGTCTCGTCTGACGGGGACCCATACCGCCGCCAACCACTCTAGGTCCAAGCGTATGGGCCTGGGTCAAAACTCTGACACTAGGAAAGAGACTGGCACGCCTCGATGTAACCTGTGGCCATGACGGGCCATACCTGAGGACTTAGATCAAGAACAGTGTCGGGCATGTCGGTGCTGTTCTGTCTAACCCTCGTACGAACACTGACAGGCGTGTCAGTTCACCACGGCATCCGCCGGGACGGAATAGAACGCCATGACCGGCAGATGACGCTTGCGTATGGCACCAATGATGAACAGGGCCGCGATGTGGAGCCGTCCCTATTGACATCTACAGGATCGGCGGGACCCACATGAAGGAGAAAAAGGAGCCGGCGACCTTGTAAGCCTTCTTCCCTCTCTCTCTCTCGTTCTTCGCCTCTTCCTCCACTGTAACACGCGCTTTCTTTTCGCCTATAAAAGGGAAAACAGGACACCCCATGAAAAAAAGGGAAACCGAAACACAAGAGCACGACACGAGCAGACGGCTGAGCGGCAAGCGAACTCTCAGCACCCATTCACTCCTTCCATCAGAGACTTGGGATCATCTCCCTCTCTCGCCTGTTTGTAACCCCTACAGCAAATCAAGTGCCGGTAACACGAGCAGCAGTGAACTGGACGTAGGGACATTCTGCCCGAACCAGTATAAACCCTTGTGTCCTCTGAGCACACCATCAGAGCCACACGCGCAAATACAAATTTACTCGTCGGTGGTCCGAAAACACTGATAGTTGGCACGCCAGGTATAGGCCTTTTGTGTGTCTCGACGTCCACATCAGGCATCGGATGGCTAGTCACGGTGTCAGCTGGGTCCCGGGCGTGCACGTGCGCTTCGGGAACCTGGACTTCATCATTTCGATGGAGGGAGAGTTGGCGCAAGTTCTCGTCGTCGTCCAAACTCTCCACTCCACCGGCCTCGACGCGATCGTTGAGGCGCTTGAGGAGCTGCAGCTGCATGCACCGGAGGCCCGCACCCCTAGGAGCGACCAACTCCTCGGCTTCGATTACGGGAGGCTAGAGCGCCAACTCGGCGCCTTCCTAGGACCCTGACCATCCCAGAAGGGCCTGGGCCGCCTCACCTTCTCATTCGCCAACGTCATGACACAGCTTGTCGAAGGAGAGCCGCTCTCCCCGGAATACCTCATCCGGAGCGCCCTGACAGCGCTCCGGTTTGGTCTGCACAATGCCGCAAAGACCGCTGGCCACCTATGGCGCAACGCACGCCCTCATCCCCTGCGAACGACGAGTTCGTGGGGATGACAGAATATGTCGTGGAATCTTTCGACGACCTCCTCACGGGAGAATCAGAGTCGCCCTCCGACTCTAACTCCAGCAGGGGGAGCCATCACCCCTCGCATGAATGTTTCATGGTAGGTACCCTCGAGGGATACATCGAAAGCATCCACGAGGGAGGGGCTACCCCAACAGACGACCTCGACGACGAGGTCGAGGGGGACGCAGGGGCCCCACCTCGCCTGTGGGTAGAGCAGCTGAGGGTGCGGCACCAAGATCTCGAAGAAGCACGACTCCAGCTCGAGAAGGAACGCGTGGAGCTCGAGTGAGAGATCGAGCGCCACGAAGACGGTGGGCGTGCATGCGCTGTGGCCCGCGATGTGAACCAGAGGATCATCGAGGACGACGAAGCCCTCCCACACTTCACCCGGGCAAGCCAGAACATCGCTGCTATGGCGGCCTTGCTCTGAAGGCTTCTGGGGCCCGCGATGCCCGAGGATCGTCGGATCCATCACGAGATTCGCACGCTATTTGAGCGTGCAGCGGCGCAGCAGGCCGAGAGCTTGTTGTCCCGACGACGCGAGCTCGACGCCAACCAGCGCACACCCTTAGAGCGACCCGACAGGGACATGTCAGTCCACCAGGTGCAGCAAGGTGGCAGGCCACGTGCCGCGGTCTCGGTGCGTGAATGTCTCGGCCTCCACCGTGACGCGCGCGACACCCTCGATGCCCGCAGGTGTGCCCGTGGTGATGCGAGGGAGGAGGCTAGCCACGGCTACCACCCTCGTCATGGTGGACGCTACGATAGCGGCGAGGACCGAAGCCTGAGACATGACTTGTCGGGACCTCAGGCCTTTGGCTGACACATCCTTAACGTCGTCTTCCCACCGCGGTACCGACCGCCGACTAACATCCCAAAATACTCTGAGGAAACAAACCTCGGACTGTGGCTCGAGGATTATCGGTTTGCTTGCCAAGTCGGTGGAGCGGATAGTGACGATTTCATTATCCGCAACCTTCCATTGTTCCTGGCCGATTCGGCGTGAGCGTGGTTGGAACACCTTCCGCCCAACCAAATCCAAAGTTGGGCGGACCTAAAAGAGATCTTCATGGGAAACTTTCAGGGCACATACGCGCGTCCTGGGAACCCATGGAATCTCAAAAACTGCCGACAGAAGTCCGAGGAAACTCTTCGTGGGTACATCCGGGGCTTTTCCCGGCAGTGCAACGAGTTGTCCAACGTCGCCGACGCCGATGTCATGGGAGCTTTCCTGTCTGGGACCACCTGCGAGTCCCTGGTTCACAAGCTAGGACGTAAGGGCCCACGAACTACCAAGGAGCTCCTCGACATCGCCACCAGCCACGCCTCGGGCGAGGAGGCGGTCGGGACGATTTTCGACCGCCTCAAAGGCAAGGCAAAGCAGTACGTGGACGCCGGCGAAGGTGCCTCCAACCGTCCCAACAAGAAGAAGAACAAGCAGCGGTGCGAGGGCTCGCTCGTGGCCACTGTCAACTGCAAGGGGGTTGGAAGCCCTCCGAGGGTACCTCGGACCATTTCGAGAAGCTGCTCGAAGGGCCATGCCCGAACCATGCATTCCCCGTCAAGCACCTATACAAGGATTGTGTCCTCATGAAGCAGTTCTTGTCCGAAGGCTCAAACAAGGGGGAACATAGGAAGGAGCCCAAGCCGGCCGTAGACGACGCCAAGGGGAAGGACGATGGATTTTTGACGCTAGATGACTGCCTCATGATCTTCGGAGGGTCGGTGGCCTACGACTCCAAGCGCCGCTAGAAGCTTGCGCGTCATGAGGTCTATACAGCCGAGCCGGCCATGCCTACCTTCCTCCGATGGTTGGACTCCGCCATAACCTTTGATCAGACTGATCACCCGAAAAGCGTCCCGCAACCAGGGAGATATCCACTCATGGTCGACCGGATCATCGGCACGAAGCGGCTCACCAAGGTGCTGATGGATGGAGGTAGTTGCCTCAACATCATGTATGCTGAAACGCTCGATGCCATGGGCATCGATCGAGCGCGCATCCGGCCAATCGGGGCGCCTTTCCATGGCATCGTGCCAGGAAAGCAAGCCGTGCCACTTGGGCAGATCAATCTGCCCATCACCTTCGGGAATCTAACCAATTATAGGACGGAGACCCTTACCTTCAAGGTGATTAGGTTCCACGGAACCTACCATGCCATCCTAGGACGTCCATGCTACGCGAAGTTCATGGCCATCCCTAACTACACCTATCTGAAGTTGAAGATGCCGGGTCCATGTGGGGTCATCACCATCGGCACCTTCTAGCGCGCCTACGAGTGCGAAGTCGAGTGCTGCGAACACGCCATGGCAATTGTCGCCTTCAAAGAGCTTGCGGCCATCAGGGAGGAGGTCGTCGAAGAAGCGCCCGACCCCAAGCGGTCACCCGGGTCTTTCGAGCCTTTAGAGGGTGCCAAGGAGGTCCTCATAGACCCCAGCGGCTTCGAGCGCAAAGTGATGCGCATCGGCACCACGCTTTCCTCTAAATAGGAAAGCGCGCTCGCCGACTTCCTCCATGCCAACAGAGACATCTTTGTGTGGAGACCCTCGGACATACCAGGCATTTCGAGAGAAAGTCGTCGAGCACGCCTTGAAGATCAAGCCAGGATCCAAGCCGGTGAAGCAACGCTTGCGTCGCTTCGACGAGGAAAAACGTAGGGCCATCGGCGAGGAGATTGCAAAGCTTTTGGTGGCTGAGTTCATCAAGGAAGTATACCACCCTGAGTGGCTAGCCAATCCCGTTCTTGTACGAAAAAGAGTGGGAAATGGAGACTGTGCATTGACTACATGGGTCTCAACAAAGCGTGTCTAAAGGATCCGTTTCCTTTGCCACGCATAGACCAAGTAGTCGACTCGACCTTAGGGTGCGAAACCATTTGCTTCCTTGATGCATACTCCGGGTACCATCAAATCATGATGAGAGAGTCCGACCAGCTCGCGACATCTTTCATCACCCCATTCAGATCGTTCTGCTATATCACAATGCCATTCGGCCTGAAGAACGCGAGGACTACGTACCAACATTGCATGCTTAAGTGTTTTAGGGATCTCATCGGGCAGACTGTTGAGGCCTATGTGGATGACATTGTGGTCAAGTCCAAATGGGCTGACCAGGTCATAGCCGACCTAGAGCAGACCTTCACGAAACTCCGGGCAAATGGCATCATACTCAACCCTG